ATACCAAATAGTTTCTCTAGTGTGAGAAACTGAAAGTGTAAATAAGGACTAAAAGGTATAATAGATAATGTGAAATAGGAAGAAAGGGGGCAAAGGGGAAGGGGAAGTGGGAGGGGTAGGGGAAAGGAAAGAAGGGAATGGAATTACTGTGAGGAAATGAAAAAATGGAAACAAAGTCTTTGTAAATAGGGAGGGATGGAAGGGTTGAAGGGAAGGCAGGGGAATGGGGAAAAAATAAGAACCAGGAGAGATTATGTAAAGATGCAGATTTCCAATGATGAATGTCATTATTTTGTATACCTAAAATGTACCAATAAAATTAATTTTAAAAAGATCTTGTCTCAAAATAAAAGTGGAGGGGGCTGAGAATGTAGCTCAGTGCAAAATCCTTGGGTCTAATCCCTAGTGTTTTTTAAGGAAAAATGCATCACTTTCATATTCTACTGTCATAAGAGGAACACCTACCGGCATCTCCACCACTACCTCTGTGGCCCTTGGGCAATGAGTAGATTTCTAACTCTCAGTTCCTTCCTCTGCACAGGAAAAGAATCCTTCCTACAAAGCTGGTGATGAAGATTAGAAATAATACCAAAAAACAAAACCTTTCACATGCCTGACACAACAATTATTGAGCATGTTATACTGTTCAAATTATAGGCAGGTGAGAACTTGTTTGTGCCACATTTGTTAAATACACACACACATACACCCACACACTTCTACATATGAAGTTTGGCACAAAAAGCAACTCTTCCTTTAAGAAACATTTCTTTTTTAGAAACATACCATTTATTCAGCAAGAAACTAGCTTTTTACCATCTGATTTAAACACATTTTCTCCTCCCAAGTCATTTGATTGAGGGCACATCATTGCAGTATATATTTATTATCATTATTATTATTATCCACAACATTTAATTCCACGTTTCCTTGTCCTGCATAGAATATTCCCCCAATAAAGTTGCCAAAAGGAGCCACAGCACATTCATAACAAAGAAGACTTGCTGTTTCTGTTTTTCAATATGATGATTCAACAAAAACAAAACTGGGTTGAATCAGTTATGAAACTGGGAAAATGAAAATCAGCCCGTGTATATGTCATGGCCATGATCATTAACACCCCATGCATGAAATGGAGAAAAGAGAGAAACATTTGCTGCTTCTCAATGAACTTCTACATAACTTTAAGTTACTTTTTTGTTTCTTTAAAAGGCATTCTTCTGCCTTGATGGTGGGAATGTCTGGGTGTCTTCTCAGGCCATTCCTGGGCAAGCCAATGAAAGCAGGTGCACATGACATGGAAACAGCGGCCTCTCCCACACATAGACAGGAGCCTTTCTGATTTCCATCTTGGCTCAGTTCAGAAGAAAAAGGAAGGGTTACATTCCTAGAAAAATGTGCAGCCTCACTGCAGGCACACCAGTCCATTCAAGTGTTCGGGTTAGTCATCCTAGCTCTCAGAGCTTTCCAGTACCCTGAGAACCTCCCTCCACGATCTGTCTCCTCCTCCAGGGTCTTCTGAGTGTGGTTATTTTGTCCATAATGTCACACATCATGTCGAAGAGTTTGGAGCTTTCTGAGGAATAACCATGTGTGGGTATATTCTAATTTAAGAAATCCATGATCAATCTTCCTAAGCAATCACCTTCTAACTTCTAAAACCAATGCCTGGATTCCCAGCATCCAGATATCAGTGGCTGGAAATCATGTCAGAAAAGCAAAGACCCAGCAGCCCCAAATGAACAATCTCTGAAGCTCTGGTACATTCTCCACATCCACACCACTGAAAGGTCCTATCAAAAATTAAGACAATTAAGTGGACATGGCTGATTTAACAATGCAAAAAGGCTTTAGAAAAATACTCCCTGAAGTTCAAAAAAAAAAAAAGATGTGTGTAAACATTGCCTCTAAGTAACTAGAGAACCCTTGAGCCTTTTCATCTCGTCTTTCCAATGTTTTGCAATTTCACTTTCTCAGCTCATCTCCGAGGTATCAATCTGTTTTCTTCTTATGAACAGAATTCAGAGTCCGAGGCTGCCTTGGTGCATGGGCTTGTGGTTTGATTGGTAGAAAAAGTATTACCAGGAGACTTATGATATGTAAGTAAAAGTACATGGACCTAGGAATAAAAACACATGAAAATTATATTTTGCAGAAGGATATAAACGGAAAATGTCATATGATCGCATCACCTGCAGGAATGCTCAGTGAATCTGTACCAGGCTTGCCCTGATCTCTTCCACAGATTGGTAGGTGAGCAGACCACGGATGGACTGAAACCACAAAAGTGGGCAAAACAAACCAAACAGCTCATCTTCAGATAGATGTAGTATTATCCCACTGACATAATAAGCAGGCCAAGACAACTCCACAAAAGCCAGAAACACCCAATATTCAAAATCTAAGGATGCACAAGACCAGATTCAAACCCAATACTCTGTCTCCTAAACAGAAACACAACACATTGTCCCATACATTCTTCCTAAGTATTGAGTTCTCCTTCCTGTGTTTTATGAAACGGAAGGATCCAAATTTTGAAAATCTACTATAACCCTGAAAATAAGTTTCATGCAAACTAATTAGAAACAAGTTTTACTTTTGAGATTTATTGACTTTCATTGCAAAAGCATGGTATTTAGCATGGTGCAATGTAGAAATCCAATAAATCTCAGGCATAGTAGAAGAATAAATGTATGTAACTAGAAACAGCTTGCATCAGCATAACTGTTCTAGATCCATTTGGAAAGGCTGAACTTACACTTTCTCCAATGCTTTCTTAAGATTAAAGAAAAATAATGCTAAGAGGGGGGAGTCACAACTGATTTATGTAACACTCGTCTGCTTCTGTAATGTGTCAGGCACGTTACTCGTAGAACCAGATAACTCACATATGCCCTAAATGGCTCAATCCTTTAGCAAAAGGAATGGCTCCCTAAAAATGTCTACATAAGATTCAAGAGCACTAATATATCTTGATTCATTTATTCTTTCACTAAAAATTTATTGCTCACAATGTATAAAGAAAAGTGCTGGGGAGGTAGCTCAGAGGTAGAGTGCTTGCCTAACATGCATGAGCCCCTGGGTTCAGTCTCCAGCATTCACATACACACACACACACACACAAACTGGACTCTTACAAAAGATGTAAGCCTCTGTCTTTTCCCTTGTGGTATGAAAACAAAACAAGTACAGTGCGCCTTTGGTATTCATAAGGGAATTGGTTCCAGGATGCCCACAGACACCAAAATGTGCAAGTGCTCAAGTCTTGGTGTAGTGTTTGCATGGCACTACATACATCCTCCCTCATACTTTAAATCATCTCTAGGTTACTTATAATCCCAAATACTGTACATTGTAAATGCTGTGAAAATAGCTATTATCCTATATTGGCTAGGGAATAACGACAATGAAAGTCTGTACATGTTCAATAAAGGCAATTTTTTTCCAAATATTTTCAGCCCTTGGGTATAGAACCTAGGGATACACATGGTCAGCTGCACATGATTAATAGTCATTAATCTAGCAAAGCAGTTAACAGTTATAGTAACTGACCATCTAATTTACTGTCAAAAGGACATCATTGAGAGTGAAAGAGGGCTCTACAGTTAAATGCTCTGGCTGAACAAGTATGAACGAGGATCCTCAAAGCAAACTCTAGCTTTCAAAGTCTACACTTCTGTTTTGACTTACCTTTCATATGTGGCCTCCTCTACATACCAGCAATTATGTTAGAATATGCCCAAATACTTTGACAATCAAGGGAAATGAATTTCAATGCCCTAATGAGATTCAGTAACCTATTCTGACTTTCCTTGTTTCTCTAAAATTTTAGGGAATCTTTTATTATGGAAAAACTCAACTCAGCTATAACCCTTACTGAATTATTCTAGGCACTGACCTAGGTGCTCCGATGCAAAGATGAATAAGGCATAGTTTGTGCTCTCAAGGAATCTGCTATTACAGAAGCTTCTGCACAAATCCTACAGTGAATTTAAGAACATGTTATCTAGTTAAAGGCAAATTACCATATTAGGATTTGGCTTTTCAAAACGAACACAAAGAGGTACCTTTCATAACACATTCCAGTATTTGTTAAACTTGAGGCTCACTGGCAAGTTAAAGGAAAAAAGGAGACATGTAAAGCTCATGTTTGAAGACAGCAAACAGATCAGACATTAAAAAGGAAGTGCATCAGAAATTCAGATGTTAAGTGGAAAACAATACACTGAGAAATGGATTTACGGTAAGTGCTGTTCACTGTAGCCCCTAGTGAGGAAAAGACCTAGAAAGAAACTAGGTTCATCTGTACTAAAGGCCAAGACAATTTACCAGATTCAATGGTTCTCTTAAGAGATTCTGAAAACATGTTGCGAGTGCCATCGATCTATAAAGGCTCTGGGCAATACGTAGCAGTTTAAAAAGTTAATTAAAATGAAATTGAAAATCCAGTTCTTCAGTCTCACTAGTCATGTATCATGTCCACATATACTGATGGGTAATGCATAGGATTTCTAAGCCACAGATTAAGAGTATTTCAGTGATTCTAGAAGCTTCTAATGAACAGAGCTGATCTCAATAGGAAATTTACACTACATTCATACTAATACTTAAATATACATAAAAGATAACATTAGGGTAAATCATCTCTAGTGGACCAAATGGGCAGAATAATTGTTTCATTTCAAGCAAAGGTGTTTTGTAAAAGTATTTGATTACTTCTAAAAAGAAGTGGAAAGTTGCTTGATAACAACTGGACTCTGCCCCTTGTTTCCCTGACTAAGTGCAGGAATTAGCATATACTTAGCTGCTTAAATGCATGTTAGCACAAACATGTATTTAACTTAGTCTGATCCACAAGCAGTAATTTGCTTCCAAAATAGCTTCTTCTAAAGAAATTTTTAGTAACTGCTTTACTAATCTTGCCATTAAAAGAACTGTGAGTCTGAAACTCAGGCCTAGCACTTACTTGCTGTGGGAGTTGTAGTCATCCTCTCTGAACCTGCGCTTCCCCGTGTGACAAGTGGGGATAAAGATACCCACTCTCTCTTCAGCCCACCACCCTCCATTATGGATTCTATGTTCCAAGCCCTGTGCTCACCCACTGCCCTCCCACACTCCATGCCTGCTTCAGTCCCACTGTGGAGGCTCCAGGACGGAGCTCAAATGCCACTCACTTTCTCCCGGGATGAGTCAGATTCCTGTTAGATAAAGCTTTGTACCATTCACTCAGAGTACAATCTTAGTGTGATAGAAATGTGTCAATTATCGCCTCTCTTTTCCATCAGGTTATCACCTCCATGGGAACAGGAAGGGTTTTTATATCTCGCTTGACAATATTTCTCCAGCTTCCAGCACAGTGCCCAGAACACTCTGGGTGTTAAATGATACTAAGTTGAATGCAAGTGTTTTGCATTAACGTGGTAAATACAATACATTCCTGAAAAAGTCTCACATGCAGTAATATGTGCATAGAATACTAGGGCTTATAGGGAAAAACCATGTTAGAAGCAGACAACTCTAAACCTATGAGACTCTGTAACCAGAGAGCTACAAACACACTTAGCTCCTATGGCAACAATGGGGACAGCCCAGGCAGACAGCTCAAAGGGCCTGGAGGCTGCTTCTGGAGGTGTTAAAAAGAAGACAACAGGGCAAATGCTGGCTTAAGGGCACTGACCAAATGGGAGTGAAGATGGAGCTTGGAAAGCAGCTGAGAGCCAGAATGAGCAGGATGGAGTGTGTGTGTGCTCTCGAGGGAATCCCAGTGAAGAATGCTCAATCCAGTTATCTTCGTTTGGAGCAGAAATAGCTCCTACCTTTGTAATGGCTGATCTGAGGGCTTCTTTATTGGCTAAAAACTGCAATTCTCTTTCTACTCTTCTGCATTCCTTGCCTAGAAAAATTGTGTATAATCCAGCACAACTTCCATGTTATGCTGCTGATATAACTTCTCAGCATCTATTATCACAGAAACACACACACAGCAGGACGGACTTTATTGATGTGTTTGTTATACAGTTCTCTCCACCTTCTTTTGCTCTAACCTGAAAATATTATCCTAATTAAAGATATTGATACATATGCTGTGTAGTAGTTTCTTGGATCCGTTCCTGACCAGTCCATCAACTAGAGTATTCTCAGCTTACAAATAAGATGTGTTTGTGTAGGTTTGTGTCTGCTGAAACAAATGGACAATGGGCAGATCAACAGGAGAAAAGGCATACAAATTCATGATGTACACAGAGTCACATAAAATCTGAAACTCAAAGAACGGTGGATGGTTGAAGCTTATTACTGTTCTTTTTAAAAAATTAATAAATATTTGTACTGTGTAATAATTATATTCCTCTTGGGGATTTGGTACATATACATATCACAGCTTCATCATTTTTACTTCCCCTTCCCCCCATCACCCTCTCATCTTCCCCTTTCTCCTGACTCCCTTCCCATCTCCACAAAGTCCACTTCCCTGTTTCCTATCATGCACCTTTTATTTTGCTCTTTATATTATTTCTATTTTGGGTCTCTCATATAAAAGAAACCATGTGATACTCAATCTTCTGTGTCTGACTTATTTCACTTAGCATTATGGACTCAAGGTCCATCCATTTTCCTAAAAAGAAATCAACTTTGTCTTTGTTTATGGCTGCATAGTACTTCATTGTGTGTGTGTGTGTGTGTGTGTGTGTGTGTATATATATATATATAACATACTATAGTTTTGTTCTTTATGTCTGAATAATACTTCATTGTGTGTGTGTGTGTGTGTGTGTGTGTGTGTATATATACATATATTTTTTTTCTTTATCCATTCATCTGTTGATGGGCCTATAGGATACTTTCCAGATTTAGCTACTATGAGTTGTGCTGCTATAAACATGGGTGGACATGTATCACTGTAATACAGTGTCTTTAACTCTTTCAGAAAGATACTCAAAGACATGCAAGTTGAAGCTTAAATATCTTCTGCATAGAGGAAAGGGATGGGGGAACTGTAGGCAATTTTAGAGGAAAAATAACAGTTTAGAGATGATGCATGAGCCTGAAGAATAACCCATGGCCTGGGACAAGGTTTCCCTGGGCTCTGGGGGTGATGCCAACTCTAGTCTTTCTTCTGCGGATTAATCTCCTGGAGGACCCAACCTTTAGGTAGGCAGAGGGACTTCAGAGAAAGCCTCTTCTTATATTTTGGGAGGAAAAGAAGGGCAAGAGAATAGGGAGGGGTGGTCAGAGAGACTTTGGTCCTCCTCTAGTTCAAAGCATTCAATATGCCAAGACATCATATTTTGAGGTGTCATTTCATGAGCCCCAGCAATAACACCATTTAGTTCTAAGTCAATTGTTAAATATATGATGTTCATAATTTAACCAAAAAAAGGCTGTGCTACCCATCAGCTAATACAAATTAGCATGTTTTGAGTGCAGGCCATGTACCAAGTGCCAGCCAAGTCCTCTACATGTTCTCCTCATTCAATTCTAACACCAAGGGCTTTGAAGTGGATTCTATTCTTAGGCACCTTTTACAGTGTGGTCATACGATCTGTTTTCAAGACTATGTGCTCAACCATTTCACAGTAGTAGAAAAATGTGACTAGTTAAACACAAGCACAAAACAATAAAAGTTAGCAATTACAGGTCAGCAGTTCCTTCCTGTGGAGCACAGGTGTTTGACTATGAGGGCCTGACAACCTTTTCCTAATGGGCCCTGGTCTGTGATGTGCACCACCTTCTCCACCCTGAATTCTGCATATTCCCCTCTACCAGGGCATCTGGGAACATAACTCCCCATATACATCCGCAGAAAGAACCTCACCTCAGGGAAGCACACAGCCTTGCAAGAGTGTATAAACAGACCCATCCAGCAGCCAGCAGCTCCCTGGATCCTGCTCTCGTTTCCATCCTGCTAGGAGAACACCCCACGACCTCCAACACAACTCAGTTCTCAGGAAGAAAAGCAAAGAGCAAGGAATTCACCCTCTGAATTTCTGATCTGGGTCCATCCTGAACATACTACCTGAGCATCTCTTATTAGCATTGTGAATGGCTTAAGAGATTCTCATCGACCTTCTTCAAAGGAACTGATATATGTGTGTTGGTACCTCTGGGATAGCCACTTCCTTTTAAATCTTCTGTGGGCCTTTTTCACACTGAAGTCACATTTAGACATCCTTAGCACAATCTCAATACATTGGTTCTACTTACTGATCCCTAAGTCAAACAGAAAACACATAAATGTACTAGACAGCACCTGAGAGCCATGGGCACTTACTTGTATAAACTGATGGTTGGTTCAACTGCCAACATAACAAAGGGTGCTGCTATGTAAGAGACAGCCAGCTGAGTGGTAGCCCAGGTCACTACGTCATAAACAACCTTCAGAGCTTTGGAAGAATGGAAGTGCTGTCTGTAGTTGTTCCTCACCTGCAAATCAAGGAAGGGAAGAGTGGGGAGAAGAGAGTAAAAAATAAAGCAACCTTTACTCTGTGCATGCAGGCAGAACACCACCAGAGCACAGGCTGCAAGAAATGAACCAACCGCCTGAGTTCTATTTTCAACTAAAGACCCCAAATGCCTTTTCTTATTAAAATAAAAAAAATTCACTGCAAAAAAAAAATGTTTTTTAAAAAAAAACTTTTTTGAACATCTCTCAAAGGAAAGTGCTGTTTAAAAACTTGGCCCATTGCCTTGATTAATTTTCTATTTATATGCATTCACATTTATATTCCTAATGGCACCAATGGATTTTTTTAGCCTGTTCTTTCATTTAGTTCTTTCATTTTTTCCATGTCAGTAAATATTAACCTCCATTATAATTTTAAGTGAATTATGGAAAAGTTAGTTTATCTTTCGACCCATTGTTTTGCTGCTATAAACAATTCTTTGAGGCATAGCCTTGTAAATAAATCTCTACTCTACTTCCTAATTATTTCCTTTAGGTAATGGTAATACAAATAATATTACTATTACTAACAATAAAAAGTTACATTCATTGGTATGTTTATGGTATGCCAAGCCTGTACCAATGCTCTACATGGATCAATAACTTATCATGGAAGCATCATTTTTACCATTTTACAGGTAAAGAAATTGTATCTCAGGTAAAGAGACAATTCATTGAAATGGAAAATGGTAGATCAAGGATATATTCCTTTTTAGGTCTTCTGACAAATGTGCCTAGATTTGCCTCCAGAAAGACACCTAATTTCTATATTTAAGAATCAAAGGCAATGCTGAAAACAATGACTAGCTTATGGGCAATTGTTACTGTTTGCATCTAGATGCCCCCCACCAATCCTCATGTGCTCATATGTGGGGTTTTTTGGAGGTAGCTGGATCTAGGGTGTGTAAACATGGATTAAGGGTGTGTGATAGCCCACTGATTTATTAGCATGATTCTGGTTGTGGCTGGATAAATTTACTACAGAGAAAATACCAACCCTGGGGTATGAGTGGAACCAACCAATACACTCACAGCCTCAATGGAATAAAGAGGGTAAGGGAGGCTTGCTGTTGCTGCTTCCTACTTTCTGTCTGCCCTGCCATGGGCTGTTTCTCCTCTGCCATGCCCTGCTGCCATGCCTCCGTGCATTGGAAGCAGCCGACTGTGGACTAAAACCTCTGCAAAATGTGAGCTAAAAGAAACCTTTCCTTGTTTAACTTGTGGGTATCGGGTATTTTGTCCTAGCAACAAGAAAAGTAACTAAGATAGCAGTTAAGCCCCAAAGCAGGAAGGGCTTCTGTGTCCAGGGCTACCTAGTAAGCTGTGGACCCATCTCCTCAGCTTTAAGTTCCTGAGGACAGAGACCAGGGGTCCATCCATCAGCAGTGTGGGTATGAGATTTTACTAGGTAACTTCCAGAGACCTAAGACTTTATGACTGTTGAGTTCATTCTTCTACGGAAAACAATGGCAGCTTTGTTCTATCAACTTACTCTCTCTATCCTCTACCTAACTTACTTGTAAAAAATATTTCCAACCTCTCCAGAAGAAACTATCTACATGAACCAAAGCCTTTATGCCAGTTTGAGACCATGGAAATAAGATATTTTAAGGAATAATATTCTGAATATATTAACAAGCAAAACTCTGACCTTTATTTCATAGTTTGTTCTGGCCACCTGTTCTTTAGTTTTCTTTCATAATCTGAGTAGGTATATGAATGAGAGAAAAGAAAATGTCTTCCCTCTTTTCTATGTGCAAATATGTACAGTATGCATTTTATTTTAGAGGTTTAAATCAGCATAGATAGCAATCAGTTATCCAGCTTGTTCACATAGAGCTTCTGACACACTTCCTCTAACTAAAATAGAAATTCCTCAGAAGAGGGAATTTTGTTCATTGTGGTAGGTAGCCCGTTACCTATAGCACTGATTGACAAAGGGTAGAGTTCTTGAAATATTCAGGGAATGAATAAATTTAAGCAAGAATGAATAGCTATACTGGAGCTCCTAAATTCTTATCTAAAATATAGTTCAACAAATGTCATTAAAAGCCCTTGGCATCTGAAATAAGGCCACAATCATGATCAAAGATTAAAATGAAATCAAATACAAAACTGCATTTGACAATGAAAGCACTTTGATTTATAATTACTTCTACACATGTCCATCTTCTTTGAAGGGAGTCATATTTTTCATTTCTTTATTATCTTGCTTTATAACAAGCAAATTGCAGGAAAAATCTAGGACAAACTAAAAGCTCTTTAAAAAAAAAACCCTGAAGAACCAAATTTATGAAACTCACAAAGCATTTTATACAAACTAAGCTGGATCAGACATGAGAACAGAAGAGGTTAGATCAGTCTCCAACAGACACAGTTCCTATGGATACTGTCTCATTGACTACTCAGTGACTTTGTGAATTATTCCCAGGTTTAAGATAATGAAATGAGAAATTAAGCAGGGTATAGACAAACTGCAGTCCTACAGAGCCGACATTAATTATCATTGGCATCTGCAATTAGTCAACTGTGTATATTCATAACCTGTAATTCATAACCTGTAATAATGTATTCATCTTCAAGGTAGTAAATATTGCTCCAAAAATTCATTTTCTTTTACAAATATCCTCTGTAAATGACATGAAGGTAAAACATTTAATCAGTTTTGTTATGTCCATAACGTAAGTTCCCATATATTGAAATATGTCTCTAATGGGAAGACTTCCATATATTGTCTGATTTTTCAAAATATTATTCCCACTGTTTCTCCCATCCCTAACTCTTGCTAGGATCTAAAGGATAACAGATATACAGGCATCAGATTAGTAAAGAAAGGATCCTACATCCAAAGGAAGCTTACCGCTCTAGCTGCTAATGTGACAAGGACTCCAGTTAAGAATGTAAAATAGTACCCGGGATAGACACCATGCCACAGAGCAGACAGGACGAAGGTTAGCACCGTAGGGTACCATGGAGTGCGCTCATAACAAACACTGTGAATAGAGGAAAAAACAACAAACCACAGATAAAACACACCAGAAACTTCAAGCTATACCTGTTTCTCTTTGGAACAGACTGCACAGAAATCATCGGACCTATTGTTGATGGGGTGTCTGCTTCCTGAAGGATTTGCAATGAAACCTGCATAGCTCTCGCTTCCTTAGCACTAGCTGACAAGCAATTCAAAAGATTCAGATTTTGGGCCATTTTGGATTTCAGAGTGTTAGACTGGGGATGCTCAACCTCTATTGTGGTGATCTAGAAAATGTCAGCAAACAAATACCCAGGAGTTCTTTGGCTCTCTGTTTATTAAAACAGTGATAAAGGATCCCCCCACCCCCCAAAAAAACCCTCCATTGACAAATAGTCAATGGGTTTCTAAGGAATCTATCACATGGTTTATGAAATGAGGACTCAAATAAAAAACAGAAATTCAAACAGTTATTATCAATCCATCACTATACACATTGTCAAAAGCTATTGACTCACCCAAACTAGGGATTAGGGATTCATAAGAGAATATATTTGGGCAGAAAAACACAGAAGTGAGAACTTATTTTCAATATTTCTTTTTGAAATAAGAAGTAGGTACACTTTTCATTTGTTTTTTACTCTTTGATTTTTTGTATAAATGAAATATTTTATTTCTAACATTTTTAAAATATTATTTTCTTTTTTTATGTGCACACATGTATATTTAGTCATGTGAGACAGTAAACTTGTATTGGAGACTGATTCTTAATACTTTGGATTATTTGGTATAAAGAAAAAGATGTTTATGTTAAAGTTATTTGTAATATTAATTAAATGTAATGACATTTAGACCAAAATGCAAAAACTACATGTTCAGATCAATTTTCAGAACACACCACATGAGCGTACTTTAATGCTTAAGATTTTGATACTTTCTCTCCAATTGTTATGATCGGCACATTCACCAGGTACAGTTTGCTGACCTTGAGGATAGCACAGTATTAGTTCCCTAAGAAGAAATGGTTCTCGTTTTGGAACACGTAGGAAAACCAAAGGACAGAGAAACATTACCACAAATACCAATTTAAGAAGCAGATACATCTGGAGCACTAGAAAGCTTTCGATGCAAAGCATGAACACAGCATCTTCAGTGATTCCACGCGGACAGCAACCTTCCTGACAGCTGAGCCATGACTCCTCTAGGTAGCAGGCAGTGTAGTATGGAGGCCAAGCGCCTCCTAATGGAGACAAAGCATTTGGGCTTATATTTATCACTCATGAGCTGTAACTTTGGGCAAGTTACATCACCTCTCTGTGTTTTATTTTCCTCGTCTATAAAGCAGAGATAAAGACTACTGACATCCATGAGATTGACAGAAGGGATAAATAAGTGACAGAGGTACACAGTAATGGCATGTCCACTATGGATCTCATCTGAATAGGTCCCAGTGCCATGAGTAATGAGGTCATTTTTGTTTTCCTTACCATTTTAGCCAAGCTGCTGTCTGAATATTCCAGTTTTCTAAGTATATTTTGAGACTCGTGGCAGTCTAAAAAGAAGAAAATAACAGCCATCATTAGCTTTTTTTAAAGAAATAAAACAGCTCCAGGAATGGAAAGTCCTTCCCAGAACTTCCTTGGTGGCTGATTCGATGTGACATTTCAAAAATCACTACTGAAAAGGAAAAAATAAATCAGCTGTTCCATCACACACAGTAAAAATTTCCAGCACTTCTAAGATTTTTCTTGCAACTAAAACTTGGCTTACAACATCCCAACTCTTCTCCAAATTTATTTTTCAAATTATAGGAAAGCTGAAGGAGTGTTTCTGTGGGTTTCCTTTCCATTCTGATTTTTTTTAAGAAAACTAAACACTCTAAAAGGGGATATACCACAGGAAAAGTTTAATTGTGCAAATTTAGTGCCTTAACAGAGACAGTTTAAATGTATTTGTCATCTTTGCACTACGTGGCCATGTACAAACCAGGTCAGGCTTGTGCAGTTAATTCTATAAATAGCTATGCCGGTTCAAATGCTTTAAACTGTGTCTGGAATAGATATTTTATGCATGAAGGGGTAACAATACAGAAAAGAAAATGAAGAAATATCACCCAACTAGCAAAGATGAAGTCAATCCAGCACCACGGAAGAGACATCTCAAAATAAATGGATTTTCTCATTCCAAAAAAAAAAAGTCTTATCAAAGTGGCAATAGTGGCAATTAGGAATTGTGAGGCCCACAATTTCAAAAGAAAGCACAAAGTGGAAATGTTATTGTTTTCTAAGTTTCTTCCACCATAAGAAAAATTTGTATAGGCCACATATTGGCCTAATGTGACATCTTTAGAAGGGAAGGAGGAGAAAGGAGAGAGGGAGGCAGGAGGAAGATAGATGATAGACGACAGACAGATGGAAGATAGATAGATTTTTATATTTTAAGTTCTTATTTCAAAGCTTTAAACAGTTTTGCTTTTTTGTTTGATTGTTTGTTTTTGAGACAGGGTATTACTGTGTAGTTCGGGGTGGTCTTTGGAACTCACTATATAGCCCAGGCTATATAGATCCTCCTGCTTCCGCTTCTAGAGTGCTGGGATTATAAACGTGTCGCCATGCCCGGCTACAGATTTATCTGTATTCCTATAGCTAATAAAATGCTGTAAGCAGTTACCTTAACTAAATCAGACTTCCTTATCTTTTCAGCTCCTTGTCCAATGTCAGATAAAATGAAAACCCAACTTTATCCTTCTGCTTTTCTATCTAACTTAGTAACTTAGCCCTGGACCCTGAGCCCCCCCTGCCTGGAGCGGAAGGTCTTTAGGTGCATAGCTGGGATACACTGGTGGGCAGCCAGCTGTGGAGGGGAGCCCCTCTGAAGGACATTGACCCAGCCATAGCCTGCGACTTTGGAGAGAGAAAAGAATTTTAGTAGGGAAAAGAAGGAAAGTCATTAACATATTTAGATTCTGTGACATCATCTATATGGGAAAGAGCCCCTCACAGATGGTCTATACTGCTTTTTCAAAAACTGGGGAAGGTATTCTGAGGGCTGGAACTCATCGTCTCTGTGTCAGGGTGCTGCTTCTTGCCTTTCACAAGGCAACCAATGGGAAAATAATGATTGTTCGATCAGAACAACTTCTAGATTTTTGGCCACATTCTCACCACATTTTCCTAGGCCTTCTGCCAACAGGAAGCCATAGATCCTCTAGAATTATCAAAAAAAAATCACTATTTTACTCATAGTGGACCCTCAATTAATATAATTAATATTTGCTGAATCTGACTGACCTCAAATAGCACTATGAATTGAAGTTGAACATACAATATAATTTGGGAAGATAACAGCCTCAGTGCTCCTGCATCTTTCTCCTTGTTTGCCTTTTGGAGTAACAATGATTCAATACAAGGAGGAAGAGGAGGAAGCAAAGGAGGAGAAAAGAAAATCTAACCCAACCCACAAATCCCACCATGTTTTGTTAAGTAAGAGCAGATCACGTTTCCCAGAATGCAGAAAGCCTCGGGCAGAAGGTGGAGGTTTCACCTCGGCTCCTTTTGGCCTCATTTCCACCAGTGCATAGGCGGAAGGTGCTCGGTCTCCACACATCTTCGGCTTCCTACTCTCCATGAACAACCCTTCTGCCCAGACTCTCCAAAGACATTGTGTCTGCCCTGGGGAGGTGGAAAACCCAAACCAAAAGCCAAGATGACTCAGCTGACCAGAGAGCCAATGCTTCTGAGTGTTCTCCCCATCCAGCCGCAAGGGGCAAAAGCTCTGTGCCCAGGCATTCCTGTCCACCCAGCGCTAACAAAGCAAAAGAGACCAAGAGTGACGTGGTCCAAAGAGACCGTGTCTGACTGACAGTGAAGATACAGAGAGTCACAGTGCAAGAATAAAAACAGGGAAAGAGAAAAATCACACTATTCTAGTGGCCTAAAAAATACTGTCCATGACAATTTTTCTTAAAAGCAAACAGATTATAATTGTTTCCCAAGGAACCAGGGAAAACACTTGGAGGTTTGAAATCTAAATACAAGAGCTTCCAGTTTGTGTTCTGGGCTGAAATAAATGTGAACAAGAGAAAATGACATTTGCCCTTTCTAAGCTGAAAGAACAAGAATGTAAATAACTCAAAGATTTTTCCTGGCCAGCTATTTTTCAGACTTTAGGTGTCATTATTGAATGATCAGAAGTATCAAGAAAGTAGGTATTTTTGTTCTTAAAGAAAGAACAAAATTCTAAGATACAAGATATCCAGGAGGCTGCCAGGCCTGGTGTATCTGAGAGCAGCTTGTCTTCCCTCAGATGTTCTGATGAAGAATTTCAGCAGCACCTGAAATGCAACCCAGCTCACAATGAAAGCAAACTAGTTGCTTTAATCACTATGGAAGTCTGATTCAAAAGCATTACACACTCACCTCAATTTTCCAGATGTTTAGGTTAGAAAGCAGGTCCCAACAGGAATTTCCATTCTTATCCACTCCGCTGAACCCGAAACCAGCTGCATTATTCACTGCATCAGCTGCGGTTTTCAAAACAACACATTAGGCTATGGAACAAAAGTCATGTTGCTGCTTTAAAAGATACCAAAGACCTTCAACATTGAGAGATATGTGGTAATTCCTTAGAAAAAGAACAACAATAAAATTAAAAGACTTGGTATCAGTGTGAACCAGAAAAATATTTTTGGTTGTTCATGACTTTGATTTTTATTCATTCATTCCATAGCATTTAGTGAGCACCTGCTAAGAGGAAAGGTGCTAGATGGTTGTAGAATGGAAAAAATGAGAAAAAAATGAGAACTGGAGAAGCTAAACAAAAAGGTAAACAGTAGGATTTAGAGATCAAGTTCATATGAGGGGAGAAGGAGGCAAAAATACACCTAAGTTCAGAAGTAGACCAGAAAAAATAAAGGACTCAGTAGAAGATCAAGAGTTGTCATTGCAGATGGCAGGGCATTTTAAGAAGCAAACTAAGTTAAGAGGAGAACCAGCTCTGGAAGAATTGGAGCTGACCATGGACATTTCAGACATGAGTTGCCAGAAGGACACTGGAGCTGTCCAAGTGCAGTTGAGTAAAGTTTAAAACCCAAGACAAGGAACAGAACTAGGGCTGTGAATTTGGGCCAGGTGCAATGGAGGCCCCACGTGGACAGAATGATCAAAGCCATCTAACCCATAAAGTCATTCCAAATGCTTCTGTATCGAACATCTTTACCTTCCTCACTGACCTACATGAACAAGCCCTCACTTACAGTGACTATTTCACCTCTAATCGATTCCTCAATAAAGTGTCTTTGTAATCAAGTATCAATCTGATGAACCCAATGCACTTATGATCAAGAGGCTAATTTTCTCTTTTCATTTATCTTACTTTAAACCATTTTAGTATATTTTCTTTAAGGAAATAAGCAAACTAATTGAGTCACAGTACAGTAAAGTCTTAAGACCTGGAGGAGATTTTAGAGAAATACTTCTTCGAAGAGGTTGAGTCCAAATCAAGATGGCCTTTGAAAGAGTTAACTCTAAAATAATAACCTGTTCTGGGCTGATAGTGAGGCTCAGTGGATGGGCACTTGCCTCCTAGGTTCCATCCCCAGCACTACAAAAACAACGAAACAAAAAAGAAACAAAGACTTTGTACTATGTTTGTCTGATTTATTTTTGGCATAGTTGATGACTGAAGGTTTGCCTATCTCAGGCTTGGCCTCACTATACAGTGATCTGGTTTCTTTTAGAAGAAAGGATGATCTGGGCTTGGTAATGCATGCCCATAACCCCAGTACTAGGGAGGCTGAGGCAGGAGGACTGCCTGCTGAGTTCGAGGCCAGCCTGGGCTACATAGTGAGTTTAAGGCCGGCCTGAATTACAGAGTGAGACTCTGACTCAAACACATACAAAAAAAAAATAAGAAGGAGAAGGACAAGAGGAAGAAGAGGAGGAAGAGGAGGACGAAAAGGAGGAGGAGGAAGAGGAAGAAGAAGAGAAGGAGGAAGGGGAGGAGGAGGAGAAGATGAAAAGTCCTTCTGCTTCCTTCTCCCAAGCCAAATGGAGTGAAACTCAGTAGAGAAGAGAAAGAAAAGCAAAGTGAGAGTGTGCATGTACCCAAAGGTACATATGTGGTTACATACCCAAAGGTTATGTATGTGGAACAAATTTGCAAATTGCAGAGATAAATAAACTGGGAGAGGAAGAACCCCAGAGGTCTGTGTGAACAACGCAAAGAAAAATGGACTGCCCAAGGCTGGGATCAGCATTGCCACAACATCTAGGTTCATTCTTCCACCTCCCATTTCATTCTGGCCTACCTGGTCAGACCTAAAAGAGCAGAACAATGATAACTCTGTGTGTGTGTGTGTGTGTGTGTGTGTCTGTGTGTGTGTTTTCACTGGTCACGCTTTTTCTAGGACTCAACACCCTACAGGCATTTCTCATTTAATCCACAATGTCAAGAGGTTGCTAAGAGTGACCTCCACAGCATGCTATATGCATGTCCATGGGATTCATCTAACTCCTAGAAACCTATTTCCTAAGTATCAAATGAATATAATGACACCACCTATTTGAGCCAGGCATGGAGAGCACACCTATAATCTCACAATTGAACAAGAGGACTGCAAGTCTGAGCCCAACCTGGACAACTTAGCATTTAGCAAGACCCTGTCTCAAAATTTTAAAAAGAGCTGGGGCTAGAGTTCAGTGGAAAGGCCCTGGATTCAATTCCCAGTGCTGGGGTGGGGGAAGCAGCTGTTTAAAGGGGCTGTTGGAAGGATTAAAAGTACTTAGCACAGGGTTGGGATGTAGTTCAGTGGTGCCGCGCCTGCCTGGCAAGCCCGAAGTCCTGAGTTTGATCCCAGTAATGCAAAAAAAAAAAAAGTGCTTAGCAGAATGCCTGAATCAAGATGACACTCAAGAAATCTTGGCTTCCATTATTATTATTATTATTATCATTATCATTATTACTGCCACCCTTAATTAGGCTATGAAGGGAACTGAGGTTAGAGATGTTAGGTAGGCATTAAGACGAGTCAAGTGGTAAAAAATGCCAGAACCAGGATACTAGAACTCTGATTCCATGATGCAACAGGTTAAGAGTCACCCTGAAAGACAAATGGGGAATGACCCTAAGTACTGACTCTCAGAATAATCAAACCCTTCACACAACCCTGGATCCCACAGTTTGTTTTTGTCCCAGAGCAGTTGGAGATTCCAAGCTCCTAGTCCAAAATTCCATGCCTTGTGCCATGAGTCTAACCTATTATTACAGATAAATTCTGGATATTCATGTGTTGGAGTTTATAATCCTTAGAACACAGCCTAGGCTACAGTTGTGTCTCTCTAGTACAAATTAGTAGCAGGGAAATAACCAGAATTATATGCTAAATCCAACGAAAATAGTTGTATTATTTCAATATAAACAGTATCTAGAGCTAGGCTAACAGAGTGTAGCTCAGCTGAGATGCATCACAAGGCCAGCTTTAAGGATTAAATTTATAATCATGTGTAATTACTACATCAATTATATGTAAATGGTGCTTTAAAGAGCTGGATAAAACAATTATTCGGTTAAGCAGTTTAAATATTCCCTGATATACTATTCATTGCTTCTTTATTCACAAATAATACAAAGGTTAATTTCAGACCAGCCCATGTAATCTAAACTGTAACAAACTTCCAATTGAGGCCATACAAATTAATGAAGCATTTCTACTGAAGCAATGAAAAGAAGATAAAGAAAAGATTTAGAAGAGTTGGAAAAGAAAACAAGCTCAGTCTACACAGAAAGGGTCGCTTGTTCACTCCAAACATCTTGGGAAACCCCAACAGGGCAGAATGGCACAGACACCCCTGTTCCTGGAGGGAGATTCATATTCTCTCTCTCTCTCTCTCTCTCTCTCTCTCTCTCTCTCTCTCTCTCTCTGCTGTATGCATGCACATGCACACACATGCACTCTCTCTCAGGTTAGGAAAACTACTGATTATTTGACATAGAAAAATATGCCATGTGCCAAGAAGGGTTCCAATCATAGTAGATATAAAAACTACATATAAGGCCTCACTACAAAAGAAATGATCATTTTTAAATAATAAAGCAATAGAAGAACAAAGAATAGATCAAAGGAAACTTCTGAAGCCTTCCTCAGTGGCCAGTGTGTATTTATCGCTGTCTCTGCACTGCCACCGCTGGGACAGCTCTTGGCATGTGCTGCCTGGTTACTGTGCAAGTCTGGGTTCCCACACAGTGTCACTATCTTGAGGTAGGGACAGTCTCTCACCCAGCTTTGAATTCCTACCACAAGGGCTGATTAAAAAAATATAATATTTGTTTAAATTTTAAAAATGTATTAAAGTAAAAGACACATCCATCCCCTCAAACTACTCCCCCTCACTTTGAACACACTTGTCCCATTGCTCTTGCCACTTTCTGAAGCAGTTCTGGAAGTCCTCTTTCCTGAGTGTCTTTACAAGGTGAAGTCAGAAATATGGTGAATGATGCTGCCAAATGCCATCCAACAATAAAGCAGGTTTGTAAAAACATTATAGTGTGTCTTCATCCACCTTATTCAGTGGATCTGGCACCATGAAATTTCTGGCTTTTCCCCCAAAGTCAAATGACCATGAAAGGTAAATGTTTTGAATCAATTCAGGACATCAGGGCAGCCAGGACAGCATAAATAAAGACATTGCCATAAGAGGACCTCCATAACTGCTTCAAAAAAATGACAAGAACAATAGGTTAAGTGTTCAAAGGAAGGGGAAGTATTTTCAAAGAATTAATAGCAGTATGACTTTTACTGTGATATTTTTACAATTTAAACATTTACTGTATTTTTCATACCTCCTACTACTAAGCCTGATACTCCACAAAAGCTCCTGGAATTAAGCTGAAAGTAGCCAGAACCAAGATGGTGCACATTACAAATCTTAGAACTGCTCCAAATCAGGTCTTTCTGACTAAATGTTATGTAAACATTGCATCGGGCTGAGCTTGTGCATGAACAATCTCACTGTTTAACCTGGGGAAGGGAGGGATGGGAAACCATTGGCTTAATGCGTATAGTTTCTGTACGGGGCGATGGTGCGAGATCATGAATGAACTTAATGCCACAGAATTATACATACTAAGATGGTTTAAACCACATATTTTATATTACATAGTTTATTACAGTAAAATAATACATATAGTCTATTACAGTAAAATAATAATCAAAAAAGTAATTTGGTGCCTCTAAACTTTGGTAGCTTAAAACCTGAAGCATGAGCTAAAAGAAGAATAGCATCAATTAAGTGCTTTCCCCCATTCACAGGATATTGGCTAAACATTAAGAATGGAGTTTCATAATCCATTTGACTGAAGAACCCAAGTCACTGCTCTCTGACACCCAGCACCAGCTGAGATGTTAAACTTCCTTCTCAAAAGGGCCCTGGGGTGAAACAGATACGGCTGCTATGCCTTATCAAAATCCTCCACCAGCCACAGTAGGTACACAGAGGGTTTATCGCTTGCTTTAAAGCTTTAAAACAACTCCGGTCTAAAATTGTTTAACAAGAAAGAGATAAAAGCTTAATATTGAACAAGTTCCCCCACAGGAAAAAAAAAAAAGTGTGATAAACCAAATGAAGTTGAACTTTTTATGTTAAAAAATGAAAAGAACTTCATGTCAGTTCTTTCTAAAATGCAGTGCTTAACCAACATTTTCTTAAAGAAGTGTGACTTAAATTAGTGTGTGATGGTAAAATAAACTCAGTGTGCACCCTGTATTACATAAAATACAGGAAAATTACAAGAAAGCCTGATTATTCTGGAATTTTCACCTAACTTTCCACTGCACTCAATGGCCAAGTTTGATGAATGAGCAGAAGCTTTAAAGTTCTGCAGCTGTTAATGACATTGGGTTTAAATCACAGCCAGAATTGGTTTTCCTCTTATCACAGGTAACTGAGTTCACAGAGGGTGGAGCAGAAGAAGGCTAAGTTGTAAAGTATAAAATGAGACTAGCTCAACTGCCCCCATTATGGATTGGATTATTTTCTTTTTTTAAGTGATCCAAAATGTTCTTGCTAAGGCATTCAAAGAATAACACCGTATTCCTCATTCACTTAAGGCCACTCTATCCAACTTACCTAATGTCCATGCAAAATAATACTTGGGCTTTGCGGCTTGCATGACCACATATAAGTAGAAGAGCCGAGTCAGAAAGTCTGCTTTATGGACAAACCAGTCATCAGCAAGGCAGGTGATGGGGAATGTCTTTGTGAGTGTCAAAAACAAAAGGAGAGACACCAAGGTGACGCACAACTTTTGTATCACAGCTCTCTGGAAATGGGAGAAAATCAGTGTAACCACTCAGAAGGCTCAGAGATGACGGTGATTTGGAGACAGGCACATTAAGAACACTGTTGCTGCAACAGCAGCTACAGCATTATTCCTAGAAGGAGGAGCAACATGTATTTTTTTCTCATGACACAAAACTGATGATGATGATTAGGGCTGTATTCAGATGCAGAATAAACACTTGAGACTGAATATATCCAGAATGGAAGAAATCTTCTTTCAGCATATGCTTCCAACAAAAGATGCGACTGTTAATCTTGGCACGTCAATTTCTCCAAACTAAGAAACAACTAGCAGACTAGTAAAGCATGTTCTTAGGCATGTGTCTAGATGGAGGTACTACAATATGTCCCTCTCCCATACCTCTCTAAAACTGTTCCCCTGCTGTTTCTCAGCCAGCCTGCTGTCATTCCCTTCCTCCATGCTTCTGACTTGCAGTCAGCCAGTCTTTGACTGGACCTTCTGAGACCATGAGCTAAATTAAACCTCTCCTCCTTTAAGCTATGGTGTCAGGTAATACAAAAGGTAAGTGATTTCATTATCCAAGATGTAAGAGAAATGGCTAACAGCACAGAGTGGCAACTTTCCACCAGAAGGAAACAACCATTTCCTTCTACTCTGTGGCCAGCAGAGCCCAAAAAATAGGTTTGAGTCAGCAGCCAAGAGAGCAGAGGCTTGGGTACCAGGAACTCTGTGAAGGTGACTGAATACCAGCACATGGGGAGGTAGGGGAAAGCTTTCGTCTTCTAGGAGGGTTCATATGTTTTCTGTTCTGGGGTTAGGAGGCGCTGAGTTTTTTAATTCCTCTGGACACAGTGATTTGGCTCAGTTTCTGTAACATTCCAGGAAATGTCATTCTACAGATCTGTAACTTTCACCTTCATAAAAACAGACTTTTATTTATAATATGGCATTACAACATCCCCTTCTCAGAGGGCAAATGGAGGATTAAGTGAATGAATATTTACAAGGTACTAAAGACAGTTCCTGGCTCCCAGCTAAGTATTCCAACACAGAAAATTTTGTACTGTAAAGAAATGTCAATACTGGTATTTTAAGCAAATGCTTAAAAACTGGGGGAAAAGTTATTGGCTAAGCTTTCTTCATCTTCTTTTCTTTCTTCTTTTTTTCCTTTCTTTTTTCTATCCTGGCTTTTTAATTGGAAAAGTTATTAGTGAGAGTTAGGTCTGGCAGCAAAACTCCATTCTCTGGACCTCTGACTAAACACTTGGCACTGAACACTTACATTTGGAGATGGCTCCAGCAAGCTGTGGAAACCTTTCTGTTTCCAGTTCACACCCAGCAACTTCATGTGTGTATGTCTCCCTTCAATGAAGGCTACGTAGTCCTTGAAGTTGTTACAAGGACCAGCAATGACGCTCATGAAATTGAGAAGGTAGCTTAAGTATTCCAAAAGAGAAGGTTTCACTCTGTGAAAATAATATTTAAAAGTTGAAAACTTTTCAATCCTTAATTTTTCTTCAGAATAGGCAAGTAATTAAATCATATAAACAGCAGTTATCTCTGTATTGTATGTGATAAGACCTTCCCTTGTTCTGTTTTCTAGAAAAATCCACCTATGTACTCTTGTTGAAAGGAAAAGTTCACGAAACGGGTGGTTAGAGACACAGAGCTGTGTGGCGCCCTCTACTGGTGATGTCGGCTGTACAGGCTCAGGGCCGGGTAGGGCAGAAGCTACTCTGGAGCTGAGAAATGCTCTTTTCTCTTCCCTCTTTTTTGTCTGCGGTACACAACGAAGGTAACAAATGTAAGGCAGGGTGAAAACCTGAACTAATGTTAGCTGATCGCAATGCTTTCAAATAGGAAAACTCCCTCCTGACCACCAAAATAAATACACAACAAAGGATGAGTGGATCTAGTTTCCACTTTGCAGAGGCCATACAGCCCCACAGCAGTCCATTGTCTTGCTTTGTCAACCAGGCATTAGGCCCTGAAAGAGAGACCAGCATGGTGGCAGGGAAACACTCTAGAGAGAACTGAGTGGCAGTTGGGAGCCTGTTCTAGAAGGACAGAAGTGCGAGAAAGGCTTCCAGAAGGGCCCACTGCTAACCAGCCACTGGGATTACCCCCACTATCATTTATGCTCCATAATGCTGAGCAAAGAACTTGATTCATTAGAATCTTCCAATGGTTCCTCTTTGCTTCCAAGTCTCGATTCCTTAATAAAGGAACCAGCTGGGACCCTCCTTACTTATCACAGTTGTCCCGATATTCTCCTGCAGCTGGGGCTGTATCTCCCTCCCTAGCGTGCTGCTCACAGGCCCCTTTCATTCCCAGGTAGGTGTTATTCTCTGCTACTTTAAGACACCTGGCCCTCCTTCCTCTCTAACACTGCTCAGCTTTCCAGTACACATTTACACTGGCCAACGCCCACTTCCAACTTCCCTCTATTCCCCAGAGCATTTATTTCTCCTTCTGTGCTTCCTCTCTTTTTCCAGGCGTTGGCGCTTTAACACACTGACATGCACTAGTAAGTAGCTGTTCTTGAGGGTCCCAGAAAAATTCACAATAAAAGTAACTGTGGAGTAGACATAACAACTCTGATGAAGGAGAATCTTGTAGAACTAACAGAGTTACAGATTCAATTACTCCTTGCCCTAACAATCCAGCTTCTGGGAAACTGTCCTACAGCTAGACGCAAACACAATTAACATGACTCATGCACAAGGTTACCCATCACTTACCATCTGTCAAAGCCAAGACTGGAAGACACTCCAAGTATTTATGAATAACACATTCATTAAATAACATCACAAATAATGGAATTAACCTATAGTTATCACAAAAATGAGGGAAAATCTCTAGACTGAAGTATATCATTAACTCACTTCACAGCAAGTCGGTGCTGCTCAGCAGAGAGGTCTTCAGCCCTTCGACCTAGTCCTATGAAATACAAAAAAAAAAAAAAAATTTACAAATAAGATGTTGGAACTGAAGTAAACAATGCTAGAAGAGTCTTACTGAATTCAACTGGCAAACAAATTATTATTGCTTTATAAATCATAAAGAATCCCTGTTTATCATTTTTTAAAAATGCCCTGGGGGTCTGGAGCATGGCTCTGAGGCAGAGTGTGTGCTTAGCATTTACAAGGCCCTGGGCTCCATCCCCTATGGGTTACGGGTTGGAGACCCTGCATCAAAGAGCTACTCATAAGTCTCAAAGGGCGTGCTCTACAGGTCCCTGTGAAAA